GATTAAAAAAAACTTTTGAAAATTGTGTTTCTTTTTTTTAATCCTCACCCAAGAATATGTTTCCGTTGATTTTTAGAGAGAGAGAAACATCGATTGGTTGCCTCCTGTATACATCCTGATCAGGGATCAAACCAGCAACCTTTTGGTGTACGGGAGACGCTCCAATTAACTGAGCCACCTGGCCAGGGTAAAAGTTGTATTTCTTTTAAAAAGCAAAATTCAGCACTGTAACTTGAACCCCTAACTCATACACAGAAAACCTTAAACCATAAATAAAAGTAATGAACAAAAAGACAGGAGATGACCATAACTTTGAAAATTAGCAACAAAAGTAACCCATATTAGGAACTTTTCAAAATCTAGGAGCAGAAAGATTAAAAATATTTCTTTCTTGGCAAGACTTTTGTTTGCCAGAACAAATTTAAATGTGGTGTTCTTGTGACCAAGGGAAGGTGGACTTTGACTCCCAAAACTTTCCAATTTAGATGAAAAAATGCTGTCATAGACTAAAGCCTTAAAGGAGTGGATGTTAATCTTGAACATATACAATTTTCCTTCTCAGATTTCTTTTAAATGATTTGTTGAAAGTACTTTTCTCTTATACCCTTTAAAAATGGCTTTAAAATTTAATATACTTTAAAAAAGTGCAATAGGATGAGATGATGCTATTAGTATATTAAAAGCATGTTTCTGTTTCTGTAAGGTCATTTAATGGAATAAAGATCACAGCCTCATGTTGTCTCTGTGTTTTTTCTCTTTAATGTGGGAAGATCTGTGAAACAGGTTTGGGCTTGGCAAAGTGAATAGGATATCTAAGAGGATGAGTAACTTGGTGTCAAATGTAGTGATAATGAGGTTTGAGTGAGTCAGCTTTCTCTGTCCTACAAAACAGTATCTTACTGGCATGGTGCTGGAGAAGGCTGTGCTGTTGGTGATGTTGCTTATAATCCAATACAAGTTTTATTTACAGTAACACGGACTGATGACGACCCTTGAATTTGTGGCACTTCCATGTGGCTGTCCTATCTGGACCCACCTGGTTAAATGGTTCCTCTTTGGGGTGGGGTGAGGTCAAGTTCTACTGAAAGCTTTTCCTTTCATCGGCCACCTTGGAAGCAGTGGGGAGCTGCAGTGACCCTCTCATATCTTGACCAAGTAGATATGCTCTACTTAGCTTTGCAGTAAAAACGGTTTCCCTAGTTTGAAACACTGGGTCGGGTCAGTAGCCTCCATCTATCCATCCATCCATTCATCCCTCCACCCCTAGTGATGGTCATCTGTCAGGCGTCAGGCTCGGGGCTACACTGAGCTCATCACAGATTAGTAGGGAAGGGGCAAACCCACAAGTTGGTATGATTTGAAGAACATGGTGGAAACTTGGGCGCTCCCATCAGAGTGTTGATGCTTGCCTCACTGTAAGCTGGGAGAAGGAAGGCCAAGCTGGGGGAAGTGGCCATGTGTGGGTGGGGCGGAGTCAAGCCAATGGGCTTGTTTTGGGCACACTGGCATTCTTGCCTTTGATGAGCATATATCAGTTTGCCAAAGATCAGTCCGACTTTATTAGATTTTTAAAAAAGAAATGGTAGACTGGGATGTGAAGTACAGCATAGGGAATATGGTGAATAATATTGTAATACTATGCCTGGTGTCAGATGAGTACTAGAGCTATCAGGGTTAGATAGATCTAACTAGATCACTTCGTAAGTTATGTAAATATCTAATCACTATGTTGTACACCTGAAAATAATATAATACTATATGTCAATTGTAATTAAAATATTTTTAAATAGTAAAACAATAAGACAACCCTAATAAAAATAAAAAAGGAATGGTAACTGGGAAAACGGGCTGCCTAAGGAGTAAAACTGACATCAGGCACTGGAAGAACTCAAATGCCACCAGGCCATTTCCTCGTCTGCAGTGGCCAGGTTATCTGCTCTCGCAGAAGGGTTTCCTTCCGGCTGCAGGGGAGGGCAGGCACGCATGGTTCCCGGCTTACATCATCCCCCTTTCATATCCCTGGAGGAAAGAGACTTTTTTTTTGAGCCACTGCCTATTTAAAAATGTGTGTATATATAGCTCCATCCTAGAGAAAGCTGCTGATGGGTCTGGCTTGGGGCATATGCTCCTTTCAGGGCCAATCCCTGGTCTGGGGGCTGGGGCACAACAACCAGCCAGACCGAGGTCACATGTTCTCTAGTCGGGGTGATGGGGAACTGGGACAGGCAGCCCCACCAGAACCCACAGTCACCAAATGAAAGACTGCTGGGCAGACAAAAACGAGTGTCCACAACAGCCCCAGGCCCCCAGCCTGGCCATTGACCACAGTGGAATGGGAGCCTGGGACATTTCAGGGTGTTCCTTTAAGGGGCAGTAGAGGTGGTTAGGCTTCCACTCAATGCAGCGGAAGCTCTTCAGGGTCTCAGGGATTCGTTGTTGCCTCAGTAGGACTTGAGGGGTTTCAGAGCTGCGGGGGAGGGTTCAGGAGGAAGTTATATTTCATCTTCCTTTTCATTCGAAAAGCCCGATTTTTCTGTTCAGAGCAAACTGTCAAAATTGGTGTATTCTCAGAGCCGTAGCCGAGTAGCCTGTGTGGGTGTAGAGAGCTGTACAGGCTGCTGATGGAGCGCCTTCCCGAGGAGCTCCCATTTTGAGAGTTGCTGTTAGCAACACAAACCCTCATGTTACCACAAAACGATCCCATGCTTCTGCTCCTGTGTGTACAGAAGCATCGCAAACAGCTTCCCGTAAATGCTGTTGCCTGCCCCTCACCCACCCCCTTTCCTCAGCCCTGGCCTCGCTTCCACTCCTACCTACCTGCTCAGAATCCCCACACGGGGCATCTCGGCCCTGGCATGCCCGCCAGACTAAGGAAGACCCGGAAACTTCAGGGCCACATGAGCCACGGCCCTGGCCACGTCGGCAAGCACCCGGGGGCCGAGGTAATGCTGGTGACTTGCATCGTCACAAGATCAGCTCCGACGAATACCGCCCAGGTTCCTTTGGGGAAGTTGGTGTGAGGCATGGCCACTTAAGGGGACCCAGACTTCTTCCCCACTGTCAGCCTTGGTCACCTGTGGCCCTCGGTCAGTGAGCAGACAGGTAAATGCTGTCAAAGACAAGACAGTAGCCGCTCCCATCACTGACGTGGTGCAGTTGGGCTACTACGGAGTCTGGGGAAGGGATGGCTCCCCAAGCAGCCTGTCTTGGTGAAGGCCAAGTTCGTCAGCAGAAGACTGAGGAGAAGTCAGGGAGTTGCGGGGGTGGGGGTGGGGGGCAGGGTGCTGGTAGCTTGAAGCCACATGGACGTAAGTTCATTAAGTGCTCACAAGTGAACCACAACAACAAAAAGAATCCCCCAACGGTATTCAGCCTTGTGCCATTTTCTCCTTCTCAGCTATTCCTTCCTCGGAGACTCAGCAAAAACAATCTTGGAGGAGCCTTCCTCTCCTCAGAAGGCAGACAAGGGGAGAGATTGCAAATAATTAAGAAGTAACACTTGCTTCTGCCACAGGGCCCATCGCAGAGAAGCCCGGAGGCGGGTGACAGCTGGATCCTGGCGGCGGCCCCCTGCTCGGTGCTCACCGTGCGGAATGGGGTTGAGGACGGTCCTGCTGGCGGTGCTGGCATCGCCTGGGGCCGGCCTTACAGAGCTCCCCCTTGGAGAGCTGCTTGGAAAGTAACAGTATAGAACCCTGACGTCCCTGCCCCTCCGATGTTTTTCGTTTTGTTTTTCTTGGCACAGGAATAGGACAGGAAAAAAAAAAAAAGGGATGTGACGTTTGAGCAACTCTGGGAGCAGAGAGTAAGGAGAGGCAGAAAGCAGTCTGGTTTCCTCCCAACCGAACCTCTGCTTCCTGGGTCTGGACTGCCTTCCAGCTGCTCACTGGCTCCACGTGCACAGCGCTGAGTTGGGTGAGTGGTAACGCGCAGGAAGCTCTGGTATTTACTTATGTTGCCTCTGACTCTCCCTGCCCGGAAGCTGGTGAATAATGTGTAAAGCTGATGAGCATATACCTTACCTCATGCTAATAACATGATTTGCCACGTGCCCGGCACTTTATAAGCATCATTCCATTTGTTGCTCTCCCTCTGGGGAATGTAGTTTTATATGTTATCTTACATGTTGAACAGGATCGTCATCACCCCATTTTACAGATGAACAAACTGAGGCTCAGGGAGGGAAGGGTGCCTGGATCCTATAGCTAGCAAGTGACAGGGCCAGGGTGTGGCCCAGGCATCCTGATTCCAAGGCTGGGAGTGGGGCATGATGGTAACATGGAGATGGACAGGAACTGGTTCTATTCTTGTGGAGTCACAGCCCACTGTGAGAAAGGACCTGTGTTTGGTCATTCATTCATTCATTCATTCATTCATGGGGTGCCTACTGTGTGCCAGGTTTGGGGGTATATCTGGTGACTTAAGACCTAATAGTTAAAAGTACTTTCTCTCTGCTAGACCCTTGTCTTCTAATATCTTTAAAATTCAATAGAGGGCCCTGGCCGGTTTGGCTCAGTGGATAGAGCGTCGGCCTGCGGACTGAAGGGTCCCAGGTTCGATTCCGGTCAAGGGCATGTACCTTGGTTGCGGGCACATCCCCAGTAGGGTATGTGCAGGAGGCAGCTGATCAATGTTTCTCTCTCATCGATGTTTCTAGTTCTCTATCCCTCTCCCTTCCTCTCTGTAATCAATAAAATATATTTTTAAAAAAAATTCAGTAGAGGTTTGAACTATAAGCCGGCTCTAGAGGAGGAGGTAAATTGCTCACATTCCAGTGTGATGTGTACACAGGGATCGCGTATACAACAGCTCTGTTCTTGAACGTGGAGTCCCCGCAGCCCGTGTGTGTGGACGAGGTGAGGAGGGGCGGCTCAGTGGGAGCCTCCGGGCAGAGGAGCGAGCAGGGAGGGGCGGTCCGGTGTGCGGGAGGCACCCAGACCTGCTGTCCCGGAGGCGGGAGCAGGCGGTCCCTGTCGGGGGCAGGAAGCTGGCGAGGCTCTCATTAGCCAGTCGCTCTGGGAAGGGCTGGTGACCTCACGCTGGGCGGGACTGAGGCCTTTAAACCCGGTCCCTGTGCCGCTGCTGCGCCGGCCTCGCAGCCTTGCAGCCTCCCACGTCCGTGGGGCGGTTCCTTCCGGACTTCAGGAAGGGTGAGAAGTCGGGGTGGCTCTCCGGGTCGGGTGGGAGATGGAGAAGTTGGGCGAGGCAGGGCCCACAAGTTAGGGAGCAGCGGCCGCCTCCCAGCACCTCCGCCGGTGGCGCAGCTGACAGTTGGGGCGCGGCCGCCTGGCAGGCGACCCTATCGCGCTCCCGCAGCTGCGCCCCCGCCCCCCCAGGTCTCCGGTGGACCCCTCTGCCCCCACCAGGGGTTCGTCCTTCCACAGGGCAGGGACAGGCAAGCGAGGGACCCCTATGGAGGGGGAGCCGGTGGTTCCCGGGAGGATCAGAGACCGACTGCAGGGTCTGGTCTCCCTGCCCGGAGCCGCCGTGCCCCCTGGGATCGTGGGGTCGCCGTTACCTATTGCTGATGTCATGAACCCCTGCTCCCCTGCCCCAGGCACTCACGCAGCGGACAAAGCAAACTCCAGCCTGCAGCTGAGGGTCCACAGCAGGAGAGAAGATGCGGGCGCCCATTGTAAGTGTGGGGCGCGGGGGCTGGGCCGGGGCCGTGTTTTGGTGGTGGCTCCCTGAGTTCTGACGTCAGAGGCCACACCTCCACCCGCCCTGGCATCGGGTGTCAGGTGTGGGCAGCAGGCACCTGCTGGGGTTGTCTCAGTGTTTGAACTTGCGTGGGCCCCGGGGAAGGCAGGTCCTGCAGGAAGAGGGGGGCAGCCAGGGGCGCCTTGCCCCTCAAAGGCCAGACCCCTGCACTGGCTCCCGGGGCTGGACCTGCGGCCCCAGGTGCCACTGGGGTCTGATTACAGTGGCTTTTTCTGGTCTCAGCTGATGCGCCTCATGACCGCCCTGCCAGCGACTGCCCAGCTTGCACTTTTTCTCTAAAACCCGTGATGCGGCTCAGGGGTCAGAAAGGGGCTTAGCAAATCCTTCCTTCCAACTTGGCCCTTCTGGCTGCAGAGGTGCCCAGCGCAGCCTGGGGGGCAGACCCGCCTGGGACCTGTTCCCGAGCCCCTGGCTGTGGAACTTGGGCCAAGTTTCAAATCCATTCTGTTTCTCGAGTGAAGATCTTATGACTTAAGACTGAGGAAGTGCTCACAACAGTGCTTTGCACACACGTGAAGTGCTCAACCGCAATTCTCTACTGTGATTATGATTTATTATTATTATTAAACAGCTTCACAAGTGCCTGGGGGCACCTGGCATATTTGCTACCTGGAGTGGTCATTTTTAAATATCCCTCTCCTTCATCTGATGACATTGTTTTCAGTATAATAATGGAGTGAATAATAATAATGAATAGTAATAAGAAACAGTAAAACTTTTCTTTTATGGAGCTTTGTATATGAACTCATGCCAGTGAAAAAATAAAAAAGTGAAAAGTAAATGTTATAGAGAAAAATAGAAAAAAGTAATGGATTAATTGATAGGTTTTAATTGCTTTAACGTATTTTTGGAAAAAAAGTTATCCTTACATACAGGTTGGTCACAGGAAGGAATTAACATTACAGTTTCTGTTTTGGAACACTAACTTCTGAAAAATTGTCCATGACTTTGTCAAAGTTGTTCTTCTTAAAGAAATTTTAAAAATTATTCTTTGCTTATTAATGTTCACAACTTGTCAGCTCATCATTGCTCACAGTTGATTGAAGAACACTTTTTATTAATTTTAATTTCAAAAGCTTCTCTCATATGAAATAACAGATATACAAATAGGAAAGGCCATAAACATTAGGATGAGTTTGTCAGAGATTCATTAAAAACCCCATTTCATAATTCACTCCAGAAATTGCAATACTGCCTATATCTTCTGAAAAATCATTTCTGGTGGCTCTTAAATACCTCCACATTTGAAACATTTTTACTAAAACATCTTCACCAGAAAAATCATCATAAGTTTTTATCTTATTTGGCAAAATTCTCCCATGTTGTTTTTTTTTCTGCAAAAATCAGAGGAGATGGCTGAGTGATGGAGACACTTGTTTAATCCGTTGCTTTCAGATGAGAGTCTAGTTCTTGGTGGAAATGATCCAGGCTGTCAAACAGTTCCGTTTGGGTTTCTTGGGGCACTGGGCAAGCAGGCTCTCTGTCTTGTTTCAGCACAGGAAGATGTTGGCGACACAAATCCTGTCAAAAGGGAGCTCGGACCCTGCTGAGCTGTTGGGGAAATTACCTTTGGGACAGACACGTGTAGCTGAGCGTGTGCTGGGGGCTGTCTAACTCAGTGGTTCTCAACCTTCTGGCCCTTTAAATACAGTTCCTCATGTTGTGACCCAACCATAAAATTATTTTCGTTGCTACTTCATAACTGTCATGTTGCTACTGTGATGAATCGTCATGTAAATGTCTGATATGCAGGATGGTCTTAGGCGACCCCTGTGAAAGGGTCGTTTGACCGCCAGAGGGGTCGTGACCCACAGGTTGAGAACCGCTGGTCTAACTGGATGCTCTGATTAAACTTCCATGTCGAGGACAGGGTTTTAAAGAATAAGAAATAAAAACAGGCTAGCTAGAGGCTCACATCTATATTATTAAATCTCAGAAATAGAATTTAAATCTGCAGAAATAAAAACTTAGAGCAACAAAATCGCTTTGGGGAGAGTTGTATTTTATCGCTGATGGTCTTTAAAATTGTCAGCATGTGGAGATGATAAACAGGAGACTGACTTTTCACGTGTCTTATTATTGCTTTGAAATTCTCCACGGACAACTCACTCCTCTTTGCACCCAGGGAATATGGCTGGCACCTCCCCGCACTGGGTGTGTCACTGCCCGGCTCTTAGGGCTTGACAAAGGTTAGCTGTTGGTACAGCAGCTCCCCAGACCACCCTGGGACGGAGAGGCTGGTCTATGGTAGGGCCCTGGCTTCCCTAAGCCCTCTGTCCAGCCCGGAACGCCTCCCGGTCAGTGCCAGTGCTGGTGTGTCCGTTTCTCTCCTGTCTGTGTTCCAAATGTGCTTAGAGTAAGTGGGCCAGGAGCCTCTGTCCCCCCTCTTCCCCCCTCTTCCACCTCCTCCACCCCCTGTCCTTAATCTGTGTCTTGTTGAGTAGCTGCTGCTGGGGAAGTGAATATCCAAGTGAAACTGAGAGTCTAGAACATGAGGAAATGGGTGGGCCTGGTCTGGTCTCCGGCCCTGCAGGGTTCCTCCCCTCCCCCGCAACCCGCAACCCGAGGAGCCCAGGCTGGGAGGGCCGCAAGCCTCTGCTGAGAACCTGTATGTGCCAGGCTGGCGGCTCAGCCTAGCTGGCGGGCTGGGCATGGAAAGTGATCACTCCTTCCCCTGGGCTCAGCCCACAGTTAGAGTCACTGGGCAGCGGGGCTGTGGCTTTGGAGGCAGCAGCGACTCTGCGCTGGGGCTTCCGGGAGGCAGTGAGGGTGGGGACGTTGAGCCCGTTTTGAGGGATGAGTAGGAGTTTGCCAGGGAACAGCCAAGAGAATTTCAGGCCTAGAGTACAAGGATGCAGAGGCAAAGTGTGCCATGGGGCTGTCATCGGATTACAGGACCTTCGTGTGAATTGCGTGGCGTTGTGGAAAAGAACTTGGCCTTGGGACCTGGCACTACCTCTCGGAGAGCTCTGAGACCTTGGGCAAGTGACTTCCCATCTCTGAGCCCTTTCCTGGTGAACTGGACCGCTGTAGGATCCAGATATGTGTGACAAGCCCAGCAGTGCCTGGTGGGGATGGAGGTGGTTTCCAGATGAGTCGGGGGCAGTCCCGATTCACGTGGGGTGGGGTTGGACACATAGAACAGACCTGTGGCCTGGAGGGCAAGAGCCTGGGAGGGTGGATGAGTTTTTTCCCAGAATACCCGTGACCTTTGGGCCGCTGGGGCTCGGCCTGGTGCCTGCTGGAACCGACACTGTCCCTTTCCCAGCAGCTGGCAAGGGCAGAGGTAATGTGTCAGCCCAACCCCTCCTCCATCTTCTCTCTGGGCCTGAGGCTGGGGAGGCTGGGCAGTCAGGCCTCTTCCTCATGTTCCCTGCACCCACCCCGCCTGGGGCACAGGTCTCAGCCCTCTCCTGGGCACAGGTAGTTCTACAACTTTCCCCTGTTATCTTACTTATTTTCCACACAGACCTTGCCTGTTGGATCATAGTAGCCCCATTCTACCAGAGAAGCTCAGAGAGGTTAAGTGACTCCTAGAGGTCACACAGCAATATTGCAGAGAGGGGCTCAGTCTCCGTTGGACTGTGGAAGGCACCTCAGATAGCCAGGACGGACAGCCAAGTCCTCAGGGCTTTCTTCTCTTCCTAGGACACCGTCACAGAAACTCCCCTCTCCCAGCTGGCCAGTCCCTTCCCAGCACCCACCTGGGACTGCAGTCCTTTTTGTTTTGAAATCCTCAGTTTCTAGACATTTGCCCCGAGTGTGAGAAATGCAGGGGATGAGGCTCGGGGTTGCCACACTCACACAGCCGGGAGAGGAACTTGCTCCCAGATTGGGTTTCACAACATCCCGAGTGTCTCCAGCTAGTCCCGGAACCGCCCCCGACCTTTGCAAGTCCAAAATAGAACAGTGGCAGCAAACCCGCCATCTGTGGCCTGGCTGGGGAGCTCCGTTGGTTAGAGCACCCTCCCGACTTGCCAAGGTTCTGGGTTCGATCTCCAGTCAGGACACTGCAGGAACCAACCAATGGGTGCATAGATAAGTGCAGCAACAACCCCATGTCTCTTTGTCTCTCAAAATCCAACAAAACAAACAAAAACCCCTGCCGCCTCTAGCATGTGCCCTCCGTGCCGGGCGGTACTTGCTGGGTGTGTCACGGGTATGAACTTATTTGATCCTCAGGAGAACCCCAGGAATCAGGTGCTCTAATGCCTCCCGTTTCCGGGAGAAATTGAGTAGCTTGCCCCAGACTGTCCAGTTAGTAAGTAGCAGAGCCGGGATTTGAACCCGGGCTGCCTGGCTCTGAGCCCGGCTGTGACCAGTGCACTGTTTCTGAAGACTAAATCCACCTTGACTGAAACACAGCCCACTCGCTGCGTTTTTTCTCCGCCTGAAATATTTCATTACCAGACCAAAGTGGCAGACGCCTGACAGGGGGCTCAGTGGGGCCGAGTGTGGGTGCACTGGAACACTTCCTAGTGAAAAGGCCTCCGGGAAAAGCATTCTCTTTGTTGTGTTTCAACCCTTGGACTGAAAATTCCTCTAAAAGTGCCCTTGCTTCCCCCTCGGGCCCTGCCTGGTGCCCACGGCCGAGGGCTGGCCCTGGGTCGGAGTTGCAGGGCGGACCGGTGAGATCTGCTCCGGGGATGCTTCCCTTCCTCGTGCTGGGGCAGGGGCGGCGCCGCCAACCCCTGTGCTGCCACTCTCAGGCTGGCCGTGGGCAGTGACCTCATCTCTCCAGCCTCAGGTTCCCTCCTGCAAAATGAGGTCTGACCGCTCATCTCAGACGAACCTTTTGGCCTCACCCCCACTCCCCTTCAGACACCCTCTCCCGGGCTGCACCGTAGAATCACCTGGAATATTTTATTTATTTATTTTATTTTATTTTTAAAATATATATTTTATTGATTTTTTTACAAAGAGGAAGGGCGAGGGATAGAGAGCTAGAAACATCGATGAGAGAGAAACATCGATCAGCTGCCTCCTGCACACCTCCTGCTGGGGATGTGCCCGCAACCAAGGTACATGCCCTTGAGCGGAATCGAACCTGGGACCCTTCAGTCCACAGGCCGACGCTCCATCCACTGAGCCAAACCGGCCAGGGCTCACCTGGAATATTTTAAAAAACGCCAGCCTTGGGCTTCATCTCAGAGGTCCTGCTTCTGGTCAAACCCCAAACCATCCCGAGGTCCCCGCCCAGCGCCGTGCGTTTGCTCCTTAGAACCCTCTGCCCCCACCCCTGTGGACCTGTCTCCCTCTGCCCCCACCCCTGTGGACCTGTCTCCCTCTGCCCCCACCCCTGTGGACCTGTCTCCCTCTGCCCCCTGCAAGGCCACTCCCTCCCACAGCCTTCTCTCCTGGCAGGAGCAGTGTGAGGGTGGAGAGTGTGGGACTTGGGTCTGAATTCTGTCTCTGCCGCATACCCGGTCCCTTCGGCAGCATCTCAGGTGCTGCCTTTTCTAGCATCGTCTCCAGTCCTGCTCCCCGCATTCTCTCTCAGAGCCGGGTCGGCCAGGCTTGTGTCCCAGTAGGACCTGTTTTCATGAAGGGGCCATGGCCGTCATCCCAGCCGCTCTCCTGACCTCCAGGCTCACGTGCTCAGCGGCCCCCGGCCCCCCGAGCCTCTCCCTTTGGCTACCGGGTGGCATTTCAGCCCAGCCTGCCCCCCGGGCTCCCATTGCTCCGGCCAGAAACCTTGGGGTCATGGTGGCTCCTCTTTCCTTTACACCCCGCTAGTATTTTTAAGGCTAGGGAGACAAATTGCCAAGTTGCCCTTCAAAGACGTTGTACGTTGATTTGTAGGCCCAGCAGCAGTGAATGAGAGTAGGTTTGCCTGCGTCTTTTTCTATATTCAGTATTCCTGTTTTAATTCCCTGCAAACTAGTTTTTAATTTGTATTTATTTCATTAGCAGTGAGGTAGAATATGTTGCTTTTTATTAATGGTAATGTATTGCTCCCTTTAAAATTATTTCTCTAAAAAAAAAAAAATTATTTCTCATGCCCTTTGGCCAGTTTTTCCTATTTTGGTGTTGGAATAGTTTTTTTTAAAACATTTAAAAAATATGCTTTTATTGATTTCAAAGAGGAAGGGAGAGGGAGAGAGAGATAGAAACATCAATGATGAGAGAGAATCATGGATCGGCTACCTCCTGCACCCCCACCCCCGACTGGGGATCGAGCTGAAACCTAGGCATGTGCCCTTGACTGGAACCAAACCCGGGACCCTTCAGTCCGCAGGCCGACACTCTATCCACTGAGCCAAACCAGCTAGGGCTTGAAATATATTTTATGGATTTATAAAAACTCTTTATCTGTTAAAGATATTAGCTGTTTTTCTGTAATTTTCTTTCAATTGGCCAAGACAGTTTGCCTGTGGTATTTTTTCCCATGCATAGGTGTTCTAGCCTGGCTCTCTAAGAAACAAGCACCCACTTAAGCTAGTCCAGGGAAAGCAGGTGTAGTCTGAGGACCTCTGTGGAGAGGGAAGGGGATCCTGGGAAAACCCAGCATCAGGAGCTGTCATGAGGCTGGGCCTGCCAGGGCCTAGAGCTGGGAGGCGTCAGGGTCAAGGTGGTTCCAGGCATCTCAGCCCTGGGAGTTTATGCACCTCCACTCTAGTGCTCTGCCATCCACATGATGTGACTCGGCTAGCTTGCTTTATTTAAAAAATTTTTTTTATTGATTTTGAGAGAGAGAGAGAGAGAGAGAGAGAGAGAGAGACAGAGAGAGAGAAGTATCGATGTGACAGCAGAACATCGACTGGCTGCCTCCTGCAAGCCCCTCACCGGGGAAAGAGCCACAACCTGAGCATGTCCCCTGACCGGGAATCAAACCATCAACCTTTTGGTTATGGGTCAACTCCCAGCCAACAGCCACACCGACCAGGGCTCAGCCAGCTCTCTTCAGGTGCCTGCTCCCTTCTCTCCCAATATTACCAGGAGCTTCTATTTGGTCTGAGTTGGTGGTGTCTCCTCCCACCCATGGTCCACTGGCGCCTTTCTTGCCTCCTTACATCACGATTTTTCAGTTTCAGCCCCTACTGCCGAAAAGCTATTTTTTTTCATTTCTTGGTTCAAATTTCTGAGAGCGAGGTGATTTGGTTAGTCCAGCTCCACTTCTCACGGTGGATCATAGGATGCTGACCTGCTTGGGGCCCTGACTCCTTCCAGTCCAGCTAGATCTAGTCCAGTTTGATCTCATCACATGGTGTGAAACACAGCTGCCTGGGCACCTGGGATTGTGGGGGATCATCTTCCCTTAAAAGGAAATATGAACATAATAGGCAACAATAGAAACTTCCAATAATAGGAACGTAATATTAAAAAATTATAAAACTTTTTCATCTTTTACTTCATGCTTTTTTCTTTTTTTATATATATTTTTATTGATTTCAGAGAGAGATAGAAACATCAATGAGAATCATTGATTGGCCACCTCCTGCACGCCCTCCACTGGGGATCGAGACTGCAACCCAGGCCCTCCACTGGGGATCGAGACTGCAACCCAGGCATATGCCCTTGACCAGAACTGAACCTGGGACCCTTCAGTCCGCAGGTGCAACTTCATGCTTTTTCCTTTGGCCTTTATCCTTAGAGTGTCTTTCCTAATTCCAATATCTGATACACATCCATCTGTAATTCCAATATCTGATACACATCCATCTGTATTATTAAAAAAACTAGAGGCCCGGTGCATGAAATTTGTGCAAGGGCTGCGCCACCGTGGCTGCGGGCCTCTGCCTTGGCCCCCACCCACCACGCTTTTATTATTATAGATTGCTTTGTGGTTTTATGTTACATTTAAGTATTACTTTTTAAAAAATATTTTAAAATTAATTTCAGAGAGAGGAAGGGAGAGGGAGAGAGAGAGAGAAATATCAACGATGAGAGAAAATTATTGATCGGTTGCCTCCTGCACGCCCCCTACTGGTGTTTGAGCCTGAAACCTGGACATGTGCCCTGACTGGGATTCAAACCATGATCTCCTGTTTCATGGGTTGATGCTCAACCACTGAGCCACACCAGCATGGCAGTATTACTTATTTTTTTAAAATATATTTTTATTGATTTCAGAGGGGAAGGAAGAGGGAGAAAGAGATAGAAACATCAATGATGAGAGATAATCATTGATTGGCTGCCTCCTGCACACCTTCTACTGGGGATCCAGCCCACAACCCGGTCATGTGCCCTGACAGGGAATCGAACTGTGACCTCCTAGTTTATAGGTCGATGCTGGGCAATATTACTTATTTTTAAGGAGCATTAACATGGTCATAGTTGCAGGTTCCAGATGGGAGATGGTTTCAAGATAATGTCCTCCTTTTTCAGTTAAAAAAAATGCAAGTTCATCATCATGAGGGGCTTTTGCCCATCTAAACATCTTACAACATTTTTTATTATGGAAGGAATTCATGTTGGTAGAAAACCAATTAAATCATATAACATAAAATATTAAAGTCCCAACCCCCACAGTATATAATATACAAGTTTGGTG